TGAACTTGCGCAAATCTCTCATACACACCTTAGTACGGCACGGATATGCTCCGCTAACCTACCGCAGTCAAACACTACAGCTTCAAGTTTCCTTGAAATTTTGCCGAGAGCAAAACTAAGGTGCAGCAATATTCTTGACTATCATCATTAGCGCAGTTTGCAATTCCCTGACTTCATTCGGTTTCTCCTCAATTCTCATACGCATCTCTAATATTCCAATAACAGACTGTTTTGGAAATTATGAAATTTAGCGGGAGAATATTACTAACTATTTATTAAGAGAAATAATTGGAAGAACTAAAAACGCACCGTTATGGTTTCTATTTTCATGGACAAAGTTCTCCGTTTGAGAAAAAATTGTCCGAAGGCATCTGTAATTGATTTTCATTATGAAAACTCATAAAAATAGGTAAAAAAAATGTGCAAAATGGCAAGAAATAAGCCAACATAGGTTGCCAACGTGGAATACATTCAAATAAATTTGTGTAGTTGTGCGTAATGTTGTTTACAACATACGCACTATTTGACGACATTTTTTAAATTTCAATTTTTGGCGACATCTCTACTTTTTTTCCCAAATAAAACATCTCAGCTATTCAAAAAGGACGAACCGCGTTCGGTTTTGGTCTAATCAAGATGACACCGCGGGGTTCCAAAAAGATCTGCCGCTGTTCGTCCAAATTTTTTTAAACTACCAGTACGACACTCCAATTACACATCGCCCTTCAAATTAGCGTATTAAAACATGCGCGAATTTGCTTCGAGTAATTTTATTTTTCCTCTGTTTGCGTAGTTTTTCTCAAATCAAAACCTTTACTTTTTGTATTTTACCCTAGAGTTGTCTCTATTTTTCTCTGGAGCGGCTCTAAATTTATCCCAAACGTGCAGTGCAATATCGAGACCGCTCTGTAGTATTCCCCTCTGTTCGTCTCAAAATGTTCCCCTGGATATCATACCGTTTGCGATGTTCGTCCATCAATACGCTGACATGAGTTATGAGGAAATTTAAAAATGCTTTTTATATAATTCTCTATCGGAATTTATTAAGCCAACTTTAATAGTATGTCTTATTCGTGTTTATTATTCGTGACTGCTGACATTTTTTTTCAGGTAAAAAATCATTCTGTACGAACTTTGGAAATTGATAAAATGTTGTCCTCTGAAGAACTGAATACTGCAATATTTAAAGGATATCCCGAACTGCTATTGGGAAGGCCATTTGAAAAATATGGCCAACATAGGTGGCCTACGACTATTATCAAACATTTGTTTTCAAAAATCTGTTCTATATGGACGGTAGCCATTTAGATTAATTGAAAATGAGTTTTTCTTTTTTTTTTCAGGATAAAAAGGAAATGGATGAGATTTTTATAAATATTGGCCCATTTTGCAACGTTGATCAAGTACAATTCATCTCCACAAAACTTTTCAAAGGCCGATTATGTATGAGAAAAACTTTTTAATGACATAATAACAATACAATAAACTTAGGTGATCATTTTTTGAGTTCGCAGGACTTCTTAACCGGAATTCTATGTGCATTACTCTCTCCTCTTTTTCATTGCTTCATCAAAGACATGGATGAAGATTTAACGTTTTGGGTAATTCGAAATTAAAAAAAAGTATTTTTAATTAGTTTTCAGACCGCACCACCATTCGTTGTACCCGGAAAACCACTAAACTTGACCTCACGGCAAATTCTTTATTTCATTTATGATATGATTTTTTCGATTGTAAATGCTGCCAAATGTTGAAATAATCTTAATCATTCGCTTTAGTTGCCTGGCGGTTTTATTTTCCTGCAGAGTCGTGTTGAATATTATGAAAAAAAAATGTGACAAATTAGTGTTTCACACAATTTCTCCGAAAGAATTAACTTACCTAAGAAGTTTGACTGCGCAATTGGTAATTAAAGCAATCAATGCGTCGGATATATTTTTAAATTCAGATGAATTCGCGAAACCAGAAGAGCATTATCGATAATAAAAGTATTGATGAAGTGATTCAAATTTGTGTCGAAGTTTTTGACGAAGACGGAGGAAATGAGAAACGAAAACAGTTATTTCTTGACCATGTTGCAATTTTGCGGAAAGTGAATAATATAGTCGATTGATATTTAATAAACCTAGTTATATTCTAGGAATACCGTGAATCGCAAGTTGTTGAAATACTCAAAAACGAATATGAAACGGGTATAAGGTGTAGATATATGTTCGATTCGAAAATTCAAACAAATACCAAGGACGGGATTAGTTTTAGATTTAGTGTTAGTTTTAGATTATGAAGATGTGAATATACGAGACCCTTCTTTTTAGGCCTCATCGAAGCCGAGAAAAATGACAATGCGCGTGCTACAGGTGAACGGAGGAGATTTAATATTTGTCAGTGATGTCAATGAAATACTCAAAAACTTCTCAAAGAAGAATAATAATTTGAAAAAGATAAAAAGTGTTATTCGAATTGAGTTTTGTAATAACAAAACATTCTTTTAGGTTTGGATTGTGGAAAAGATGGAATACATAATGTGATGTCAAAAAAAGAATTTGACGAATTAATTGGAAAACATCTTAAAAAAGATGATATTAACGTGAGGATATTAGAAAAAAGAACAACTAAATTAATTTCTTTTAGATTTACAGGGTGCGCCATAAATACGGAGCCGCAACTTTGCGTCAACTCTGGCGCCTACAGTACCCATTTAATTGGGCACAATTATTTTTTTTTTGAAGTTTATTTTATGTTTTACTAGTTTGTTAAGTTCCAGCTCGATATAATTCGTTTTAAGGTTATAACAGCAGCTTCCCCGTTCAGGGCTACCATCGTTGAGTTATCGAAGTTTGGAATGCGTTCGGCAGTGATCGTTTAGAAGCTCGGTGTGGCTAAATCGGTGGTAAACAAAACTCTCAATCGGTTCAAAGGGCTTGGTACTTTGAAAGACAAGCAGAGATCTGTACGCCCAGTGACTGTGACGACTCCGAAGGTGGTGAAAGTTATCAGGGAGCGCATTCGGAGGAATCCGGAAAGAAGCATGAGAAAGATGGCACTGGAGCTTGGAATGAGTGAAAATTCGATGAGAAGAGTGGTCAGAGACAAGCTTCGTATGATTCCTTATCGTTTTCAAAACGGAGCATTCCTTACGGAGAAAAATAAAGCTCTCCGTGTGACCAAAGCACAAGCTCTTCTTCGTGGCACGCGTCAAGGCACGCACTTGAAAACTTTGTTCACTGACGAGAAGATATTCGCTGTGGAAGCCAACAAGAACGGCCAAAACCACAGAATCATTGCTAAGGACTTCGAGACTGTTGTCAAGAAAGGAAAATTTTTGAATAAAACTTCCCACCCGGATTCAGTGATGGTTTTTGGAGGTACCGGCTCTGATGGGAAGACACCACTGCTTTTCGTGGATATGGGCGCCAAAATCAATCACAATTACTACATGGAAAAGATTCTCGAATCGGCAGTACTTCCGTGGGCCCAATCTCACTTTGCTAATCGAGATTGGACGTTCCAGCAAGACGGGGCACCTGCCCACCGTGCCAAAGCGACTCAACAGTGGTGCGCAACTCATTTTCGCCATTTCATCACAGCCGCGGAATGGCCAGCAAGCAGCCCGGACTTGAACCCTATGGACTTCTCGGTGTGGGGATATTTGATCCATAAGGTTCCCACGAAAAACTATCCTAATTTGGGAGCATTGAAGATTGCACTTGAGAATGCATGGGACGATTTAGACGACAATTACCTGCGTGCCGTCATTAACAACTACTCGAAGAGACTCCGAGCTGTGATCAAGGCGAAAGGGGGAAGATTCGAAAACTGTTAATGCTACTTTTTTTCTTATAGTTTAATAAACATTTTGGTTGAATCTCACAAAAAAATCTTTGAAACTAATCTTTTTACACCGTTTTGAAAGCGGCTCCGTATTTATAGCGCACCCTGTACATTGAAGATCCGTTATCATGGTGTGATCGATTAAGCCCTAGGTTATCGCCAAATCAGACAATCTGCATGCTTGCTGGTGAAGCTCTATTTGAAATAACCTTCTTCATATCAGAATATACATCGTCAATGGAAAATGATAGAGGGAAGTTTATCGAGAATTGGATGAAAGAGATTCGGCAGTATTTTCGAGAAGATCAAGTGATTTCTGACATCAAAATTTTACAACACAAAAATTTTTGAAAATCCAGACAACACAATACGCAGTTGAAATGGACCCGATTTACCGCATGATGAAGCGACTTCAACAGAATTTGCAACCCGAAAGCCAAGTTCCTAATTTCTCAAATTCCCATTTATCGAACAATTTCTATAGGAACGAACATCGATGTTCCCAATTCTACATTGTAATAAGTTCGAAAAGCTGCTTGCTCAAAATTATGCGATGTACTATGATACATACTACAAGAGTAGTGTATCTTTAGACGTTTTTCTATATGATACATATTTTTTCACGATTCTATCGTTTTTCCCATGGGTAGGTTAAAAGGTTTGATCGATAATAATATGTAGTAATGATAAATTTAGATTGCAAAAGCATTGCATAATCTGAATTGGTGCAAGCGCAGTACATACTCAAGAGGATGTTTTTTACATATGATTTACGACGAATGTGAAAGGATCGGCTTGAAATCATGTAAAAATGCAAATTTCATTTTGCTTATTGTTGATGGAGATTTAGGCAATAACAAAGCTTTTGCAACTGCTGAGGAGATCGAAAAAAAATGCTGTTGGTTTTTTTTATTTTTGAATGCGTTGATATTTTAGAATTTCGGACGGGACCGGTTAAAATTAACCATTATATTGGTCGTTCTCAATATTCGAATGAATTATTCAAACCAAAACAGTTAGTAAAATATGTTAACTTATTTCAGCGAATCCACGTAGTGTTGAAGATTATCTTTCTGCGACTGATTTCTCAATACACAAAAACCTGGAAAAATTACTGGAGTCGGAATAATGATTGCAATAATGTAATTGCTTTATTATTTTCAGATTAGATGAGAATGACAACCCAGCTGAAAAATGTTTTGACAATGATGTATCTGAAACGTATATTTGATTAAGAACTTTGAATTCGAGCATGATTTAAAATTAAGAGTGGCTGATGAGACGATTGATCCCACGTCGGCAGATGACAATGATAATATTGCGGATTCTTTCCTAACGACGCTTAATGATACATTCTCAAATATCATTGGTAGTTTAAATGAGTATTCGGCAAAAAAAGAAGATTATCTATCTGCAAAAGATGATATTGCTGCAAAGTAAGTTTTCATCATTTTTTTAATAAAAATGACCAAATTTGAATTAAAAATTTAATAATATGTTATAACTACTTGCAGTTTCGAAAATTTTCAGACGAGTTGATGAAGAATACGCGAAAATTGTTAACAAAAATGAAGCCATCGAGGCTTGCTATAAGAATTTTCTGGAGACCAATAAAATTGAATGGACGAAAAGAGAAGCGATTTTCAATCGGACGACTGATTCATTGAACGCGACGATTGCGGAATTGCGTGAAAATACGAGCAAAATTACTGAAGAATTAACAGAATTGAGAAAGGAGAAGGAAAAATGTGATAAAGATCGAAATGTCGCTGAATATACGACCGATATTTGCAAAGAAGAGCTGAAAATTCTTCGTCCAAAGTTGAAAGAAGCCGAAAGTTTGAGAAAAAGTTTTGAAGCGCAACTTAAAGAAGCAAATTTGGTTAACCAACAGTTGACTGAAGAAATAGAAATAGCGAAAAGTGAAACGAATTATGTGAAGTTGAACGAGGCGAATCAAACGATCCACGAACTTCGCGAAGAAATTTCAAGACTGAATCGAAAAATCGAAGTAGTGGAAGCATCGAAGGCAAAACTCGAAGAAGATATGAAAGAATCTAGTGAGAAAATTGGAGATTTGTGGAATCAAGTTCAGAAATTGATTGATGAGAAGAAGCTTCTGGAAAAGGATTATGTTGAGCAAATGACGCCTGTCGAGCCGCCGAAACAACAGTTGAATATTAAAATAACCAGTAATAAACGCGCCCGAATTAAAACGGCGAACACAGCATTGAATGAACTGGAGATTATCGAGGATGCTCTGCATTGGTCCGTCTCACTATTAACTAATTTGAAAAGGTAATTTTTTGAATTTTTGACATTTTATTGATTTTATTCAGTTCGAGTGATGAAACAGCTGCGGAATTGGCAAAGTTTGTTGCAGATCGAGAGAATGCGTTCGAAAAAATTGAGAGATATGTGCATTTAATTACGGTATTTTTAGTTCTTCCAAATATCAAACGTTCTAGTTTTTTTTTTAAGGAAAATTCGGAAGCGGAGAAGATCAACGATAAAGTCGTCAAGACTTTCCTTCCGAAACCTCTTTCTCCGAGATTGATGTCTTTGATTGAATTGGACGTGAAGGATGAGATGATAAAAATGAGCCAGCGAAAGACGCGACCGAATAAAAGCGGATGGGAGCTGAGAGATGCTGGTAATGAAGACAAGGAGATTGAGGCATGTTTTGTGAGATTTTCACTTGATTGCAGCAATTTTCAGGATAACATGTGTATTATTTGTCACGACGAACTAAAAGAAGAAACGACAAAATGCAAAGTGTGCCATCGACGATTTGATTCCGATGTTCGTTTTTTAAAATTTATTTACCACTTGCAATATTACCAGATTACAGTGTTTGGCTGAATGGCAGCAGAAGAAAGCGGTGTGTCCGGTTTGCGATTCGTCCCTTCCAAATGAAACCATTTTCCCGCTCCTTGTCTGATGCCTCAATGGTCTGTTCCATATTTTTCTTGTTTTATTCGCCCAAAAATTTTTTTAAAGTTGTAGGATGAAAATTGTTTGTTTTCTAACTTTTAAATTTCCAAAAACAAGAGTTTAAATTATCATGTTTTGGATATGGTGTTTGGATATATTTGTTTGGTTTTTTATTGAATTCCTAATAAATTAAAAATGAAACACACTGTCGTACCAAATTGACTTACCAGTGATACTTGGTAGTCCATTTTCAAGCAACAGGTTCTTTTTGGTTTTCCATATTATGGTATGTCATAATAACTTTTCCATCGAAACTCGAGGACTTATCTACTTTATTTATACTCGGTGGGTTCAGGTTTTCCTTAAATTTTCTACAATTCAAGTAGAATGTCGGATTGAACAAGTTTCCTGCTCTGAACTGCTGTAATTTCATGATTTTACCTATAAAATTATTATTTGCTGTTTCCTGACCGCCATTAAAATTGTGGAGCGAACCAAACATATAAATTATTTATAAAACCAAGAAAAATTGAGAAATGTTGAAAAATCACATTTTTGTAGCAAAAAAGAATCAATTACATAAAAGATGCATCTGGTCAAATTTTGACGTTCCAGAATTTCAAAACCGCAGAAAATTTATTTTTTTATTCGAAATAAGAAAACTACCGATTTTTTAAATCTAGAAATCAAAATTATTTATTTAATGTTTGCTGAATTATCACGTCTTGAACCGAATTTTCATTGCAACATAAATTCCAGAATGGCATTCTTTGTCGTCGCGTGCTATTCCCGAGGACAATCGAGATTGGGATCACAATGCCTATCATATATAATATCAGCTTTTGGGGAACATTGAAATCTTACATAACAACTGTGCTGATATCAATTTTATCATACAAAGAGTGGCAAACTCGTCCATATTTCTTGTAAAAATCTGAACTATGATGGTGGTTAGGCCGGCTGCCTGAAAATACCGTTAGCTTATAGGGTAAAGCGAAATGTGGCTGACCAACTGAAAGCTGGCGATTGGAAACGCTTGCTTGATGATTGTGTAATCTGTAGTTTTTTTCGCATTTTTTCGCTGAGTTCTTATTTTTTGAAAAATGAAAAAATATCCGAGAAATGTTACAAAGCTGAACAAAAATTTGATAGTCATATCCAGATAATGTCCCAATGTCCCAAAAACCATCACCACCATGTCAGCTTGATAATTTTCCAAGCCCATGAATATCAGTGAGCCTATGTTTATAAAGAAAATAACGGGAATCGCTGAGCAGACTATCAATGGTCCGCGCCATCGAATCTTCTCGTTCCAGAATTCCGACTCCCAAATCATTATAGAAGTCCGATGAGCGCATAAAATAAAATCCAGAATCGATATTAGAATGGGATATGCGTTGGCTACCATAAGTATAGCCGATATTATTATGGCGAATTGTTTAGTTACAAATATTATAAATACGCATATTGTAGTCATTACAGTGAACAATATATCGAGGAACATGATGAAGAAAAGCAATGGATAATAGGTTCGCTAGAATTCAATTTTTTGAAACCACAATTTTTCTGGAATTCGACCTTATATTCCAATCGAATTGTTCGAATTATCATGATAATTAGGCAAAAATTGACATAAATTGCGATTAGTTGTGAAATGAAAATTGTGAGTAATAATACGACAATTTTTGCTGACGGTTCTTTGGCGGAGAGAAAATTATCCATTTTGAGGAAAGAGCTGAATTTTTTCAGAATGAATGGGTTGTCTGCGTCGACACGCAGATGAAAATTTCGAATTTTCTGAAAGAAAATCAAGCGAATTCGAAAAAAGTGAAATAAATTAACCTGATTCGATTGAAAAAGAATTGAAATTCGATTGAGAAAGTGCTTAAATTCAATTTGAAAACTTGGTTTCGATTCAAAACTCTGGTAATGCAAAACCAATCGGATCCGTAATATTACAAATCGGATCCGACAAAATTCGGCTCCGGAATCAACCCGATTCGATTGGTAATTTATCGGGTAAGATTTGTATTTTTTCGGATCCGATTTGTAATTTCTCAGATCCGATTGGTAATTTCTCGGATCCGTTTGGAAAATTTTTCTAATTCGGATCCGATTGGTATTGAGTTACCAGAGAACTCTTCGAAATTGATTGATTTTTACTCATTTTGAAATCGTATTCGATTAAAAGTTTGGAATAATTCGAAACAGTTCAATTTATATTCGATTTCGATTGAAAACGAAATTATTTTCGAAACCGATTGAATTTCATTTACCAGACAAGCAGACAAAAGCTAAAAAAACCAAAAGAATTTTCTTTATTTCCGCAGACTTTACTCAGTTTCTAATAAAAGTCTGCTGAAAGTCTGCGCACAACTTCCCGATATTATTATACTATTGCTTTAATTAATAACTCAAGTAAATGAAAATTAATCGGATTCGAAAAATTATTCCAAAATTTAACTCTAATGCGATTTCAAAATGAGAAAAAATCAATCGACTTCGAGGAAATCAAGTTTTCAAATTGAATTTCAATTCGTTTTCAATCGAAACAGGTTATTTCGAAACAGAATTCGATTGATTTTCATTTACCTGACAAGTGAGCTGAAATTTTTCTAGTCAATTCGAAATTCTCACTCGATCTTTTCATTTTTTGGACATTGTCACGATATTTAGAATCAGCGATGTAGTTTTCGATAATTTTCGATTCTTTAAATATTTCAGCAGCGTTTGAACTTATCAACGTAACACTGCGCAGGTGATTCGACGTCGCCCGTAACTCATATTCTTCGTCATGAACGTTTACGGAAATGTGTCTATGCCAATTGAATTTTCCAATCGAATTGAGGATGCTTCGCTTTTCTTATCATTAGTTATTTCTTATGCATTTGCAATTTATTTCAATATTCGATTATTGCACATTTTGAAGCAATATAAGCGGGAGAAAGAGCAGGTGAGTTCGTTTGTAAGCGGAATGAATTTCCTACTTCACATTGTTAATGATCCAATTCAGATTTTGTAAAAAAACCGGTTTAGAAAACTCTAAAAAATCGCTATACTGCAGAAAACTCAAAAAAACCTCGGCCACAGTACCACAGTTTTTATTAAATCGCTACAAGAATCATGAAATTTTATCTTATGCGCCTTTAACTCGAACGACTTAATTTATTGATTTTCTGCAATCTTCATATCGATTTTTAAGAGTTTTTACCGGTTTTTTTGCGAAATGTCATCATTGAATAATTCTATTTTTTGTTCTATTTTTTTTTTAAATTTAAAAGCTTTCCTTTTTTGTCATGACAATATAACATAATTTATACGAAGAACAAAAAGCGAAAAGTTTTTTTTTAATTTTTGTTTTCGTTCTAGACTAACTATTCACCATTAATCATCTCTCTTATGACTGTCAGTTTATCCTATGCTTGCGTTTTAATACTAACGCCAATTACATTATTTGGCGTGTTTTTATACATAATACACCCAATATTTGTGGTTATCATATCGATTCCGATGATTGTTTCCGCTCGAGGTCTCATTGTCGTTCTCAACTTTCTAACATGCATTCAATTGATTTCACGAGTCTTCGAGAAGAATTGGAGTATTGACTCTCGTCTAAATGGAATTTCAATGTTTCTGACATTGGCATTATTGATGACTATACTCTGCTTGAGCTCATTCTTCTCAATGTATACAGATTTCAATGGTGGAAAGGTGCTGTTCATTTTAAAAATTATTGAACTCATTGAAAATGGAACGCAAACATTTTTCTCAACTTTTGCATTTTTTGGCTATTTCGCGATTATTCGAAAATCTGAAACAATTGGGAAACTTGATAATGATCATACAGTGGCTATGCAAATGTTCCCAATCGCCTGCTTCCAATCGGTGGGTTTTCTTTTATAAATTTGCTTTTGAAATTCAATTCCCAATCTCTTTAATTTTAGCTAACAAGTATTCTGGTGATCATGTTTCGAGTCATCTTGTTTCTTAATGAATTACAACCCATTACAAAATTGTTCTATTTTAAATATATTGTTGCTCATCATTTTCTATGTGAGGAAATTGAGATTCCAGAATGCTTCTCATCGATTGAATTTCAGTTGTCGTTGTGCCCTATTCGATAATACTCAATTGCAAACACGAGAGGAAGCCGTTGTTGCTCGAAAATCAATTCAAGTGTTTCTCCAGAAATTCTCGAGTTATGCCGGAGTCGATTTATAGATAATATTTTTTATGAATTCGAAACCTTAATTTATTAATTTTCTTCCATTTTCAAAAGTCGGTCAGATATACTATGTGTATGGTTTATTGCAACACACAACCCAATGTTTAAGATTCTCATTCAAGATGTCGAGAAAAATTTAAAGCATATTTGGCTGGAAAATGAGCTAATTAAAAGCTGTTTCTCGCAAACTTCGCTGATCTACCAGTGGTGATAATAACTTATTCACGTTTTCTGAAGAATTCTTATTTTATTTTTTTTAGCTTACAAGTTTTTCTTTTTGAATTATTCATATTTTTGGAATGTATTTTTGTTGTTTTGAACACGAATTGAAACAAAGGTTTATTGGATTAACACAATAAATTAAGTACAGTACCGCTCAAAAGGTTGGAAACTTTTGGTTTTTTGGGCATAACTTGATCGAAAACGTATGGATCGAGGTGAAACTTTCAGATATATTGAAAAACATAATCAGAAGATTATTGGTACGGTAGTCCTATCATACGCAATTATGTCTAAAGTTTTTGTGGACTTTTTCATTTTTTTTTTCAAAAATCACTTTTTTCAACTTTTTTTTTCAAAAGTTTTTTACTATTTTTCTGTGCTTCTTTTTGCATGCCGTTATTATTTTTGTAATTTTAGACATGTCCACAATCGAAAAAAAGCGGAACTTGACTGTTAAACAACAACGGGCAATTTACGCAGGGCGTCAAACAGGAGCAACCCTGCAGATGTTGGCCGCCCAGTTTGATGTCACAAAATCTTGCATTTTCAAATGTTTGAAAAGATGGGAAACTCAAGGAGGGGTCCCAAAGAAGTCCCATATTGGTCGTCCACGCGTGACAGATCGTGCGACTGATAGAAGCATTGTACGAGCCTCCAAATTCAACCCGCGAATGGCGGCACCTGCGATCCAGCGCGAAGTTTTTGCCAATTCTCCATCGCCTGTTTCGATATCAACAATCAAACGCCGTTTATCAGTGGCAGGATTGCTCGGAAGATAACCAGTGAAAAAACCGTTCATTTCGGAGAAGAATAGACGACGCCGGGTCGAGTGGGCTAAGCAACATCTGAATTGGACGCGATTTGACTGGAATGGTGTTATTTGGTCGGATGAATGCTCGTTGGAAGTGACGGAATTCAATGGGTCCGCCGTCTTGTAGGTTCTCGATACAATCCCAAGTATCAAACTCCTACCGAAAAGCACGGGGGAGGCAATTGCATGATTGGGGTGCCTTTTCCGGAAAAGGCATATTCGCCCTTCACCATGTGAAAACAATCATCGATCGCTTCGTCTATAAGGAGATCCTGGAGAAGCAGATGTTGCCGCGTTTTAATCCAATGGGTCGTGGTTGTGTTTACCAACAGGACAACGACCCAAAGCACACTTCCAAATTTGTGAAATTAAGAAAATTCGCTTTTTTTCTTAAATATTCATCAATTGAGGATTGGTTCGCAAGTCAGCACATCAAGATTATGGACTGGCAATGTCAATCCCCGGACTTGAATCCCATCGAGCACTTGTGGGAAGAGTTGGATAGAAGAGTGGCAAGCAGAACCACCACAAATTCGAACGAAAAGTTCCGACAATCGGAAGAAGAATGGAAAAAGATTCCACTCTCGGTCATCGACAACTTGATCGACTCCATGCCTCGCAGGTGCCAGGCAGTTATTGACTCCCGAGGTTTTACAATAAAGTATTAACCTTATAATTTTAGTTTCCAATGATTTTGTGTTGATAAACTATCTTTCCGGTAAAAAAAAAACCGTTTTAAATTGCATATCCAAAAAAATGTGTTTTTAGGAATTTCTGAAAAAATGGCTTAAAATCCTTATTTGGTAAGTACGAATCATGTCTAATAGCTCATTATATCGGCAATTGCATAAGAAACAATCGGAAAAAAAGTTCATGGAAAAAAGTTTGGTTTCAAAAAAGTTATGCCCAAAAAACCAAAAGTTTCCAACCTTTTGAGCGGTACTGTATGTATTTACAATTAGCATTCGAACGATCCGCGAATCCCGCGGAATCCTTTTCCGCATGGTCCGCCGAAGCCGCGTGGTCCGTGGCGATGACCGGGGAATTCCCATGGTCTGTGGTGTCCTGGTAATCCACGTGGTCCTTCGAAGTCGCTGAAGTTCCATGGTCCTCGGAATCGGCACGATCTTTCGAATCCGCGTGGTCCGTGATGAGGATGTCCTGGGAATTCCCATGGGCCCCCAAAGTGATGTGGTCCAGGGAATCCGTGATGACGGCGATGGGCGAAGTGCTCCCAGAACTTGTGCGGTCCTCCGAACTTGTCGTAATGCTTCCTTCCGAATCCTCGATGTTTCTCTCCGTCACCATCTGAATCGTCTGAGCTTGAATCCAAATGATCTCCAAAGGCGTACAGCGTGATCATCGAATCTCCGAATTTGTTCAGGATTCTCTTAACGTGATTCGGATCATTGAGTGGCACCAATGCTCCATTCTTCGGTTTCTTCCAATAAACCGAATTGTCGAATTCAAGATCGAATTCGGCGAGTTTGGCTGCCAATTTGTCGACGACGTCGTCAGAAGACTCGAGTTTGAACTCGACAGATTCACCGTTGAAGTGGATTAGCTTGAATTGAATAGTGCGCATGATGCTCTGGCACAAATACCGAAATTCCGGTCTTTTATACCGCCGAAAGTGGGAGTGGCCGACTCTCTCGCTATCCCTCTATTCGACTGCGTCTCTCACAATCGCACACTCTATCGCCGTTTCTAACCGTCGGCGTTTCTCGTTATTTCGATTGGCCCCGATGTGTTTCACAAGAGTTTTCGGAAAAATACTCATCATAGATCGGCGCCAAACTTCGGCCCTGATCTTAAAATATATTAGTTCGAAGGATTTTTGGGGGATTTTATTCTCTATAGGGATAAAACTATTTCTTATTGAAAATAACATTCAAAAAAATGGAAATTTTGTTAATTTTTTATTTTCAACAAATTTCGGCAGTTTAATTTCCAAAAAAAAACAAGCAAAAACAAAACATTTTATTATTTTTTTTTTCTAGATTTGAATGCGATTTGATTTTTTTGGTTCCAAAATCCGTAAAAATGAGAATCTTTGATTGAAATGAATACTGAAAAACGCAAAAAAATTGATATTTGCTGCTTTCTGTTTTACACACTGTGAGCACTCGAATCTGATGAAGGTGAAGGACATTCAGTTTTTGGTATGGCTGGGTTTGAATCCGAACTGAGGGCTTCCTGCAATTGAAAATAAAGTCTAAAAGTTTTATATAAACTTTTTACCGCAAGAAATCCTTTTTTCATATTTTGAATAACGAATTGGACAAATTTGAACCACGCCTGGGTGACACTTTTCTCAACAACTTGAATTTTCCGCGAACCACCGCAAATCGCATAATTCCCTCAAAAAAGAACCATTCGGAATAGCAAAAAAATGCTTTCTTTTTTTTTTACCTTTTGTGTCCTTCAATAGTGATGAAACAACAACATCTAGAAGGCAATTCTTAACGCACAGCCAATTTTCAGCTTGAAACCAGACTTTCATTCTGAAATGCATTGCTCCTAATTGAAGCGAAAGATCTTGAATTGCAGACGAGAAATCTGGATCCATAAGCTTCGAAACTGCCTGTAAATATTTGCAAAAATTAAAAAAAATTGTCATTTTCTTATATAATTTGTATATGTATTATATTTTATAGATAAAAATTCTAATTTTTATGTCAATATAATTTTCTACTTCCTTACATTATAAATACAAACATTGTGTTCGGTAGCATTATTATCAAAATAGCATAATTTCTGCATCTTCTAAATTTCCTAGAATCAAATCTTATATGATATCGAAAAGCAAATTAATAAATCAAAAATCAGGATGAGCATTAATTTTAATCAAATCTTTAATAATTTTAAATTCGCAGATTATTTAATCGCATCAAGACCAGATCCGATACAATTATTTAGCAATGATGCTTCGATTCTAAAAAGTTCATCCAACCTTGTTAAAGAACGAATATACGCCGTCGGCGACCGCTCGAGCCCTCTTCATTCGGTTGACATCATCTGTTGTGTATGTGCCACTTCCCAAAAAGTTTCCTGCTTTACTTTCTGACAAGTGCTTATAATTATAGTATTTTTAAATTTAAATTTAAAATATTCACCTAGCAGTGCTCGAAATCGGGTCCGGTTGTCGTTTAGTAACCTCGCAACAAGTTCGCAACCGATATCCGCTTGAGATGATGCTCTGAAAATTTAAAATATAAATCAAGATAGTTAGAATTCATTTTATAGTTGACTTTCAGCGAAAATTATGAATTTGTTTAGAAAAGTTCAGAAAAACGAAAATTTTCATTTTGTGATGAAAAAACACCGAAAGATATTTACACTAAAATGTAAACTTATTCGTTCACGCGGAGTATCGTTAAGGTTTGGACATACAGTTCAAAATGCAACATTATTTTTCAATTCTCGCTAGAATTCAAGTGATAATTTAAAAAATGTAGAAAAACAAACTTCTCCCAAGTCTCACAAATACATTGTCGTTCTGGCATTGACAAATTCATGCTGGCAATAGTTGGCAATACTGTTTCAGCGCCAGATGATAATTCTGGAGGTGTCATCTAAAAATAGATAAATGTGCGTTGTAACATTTATAAGCTATCAGTAATTAAAGTATTCAAAATATCAAGAAATTTGTGGAATGGACATGTGCATTTGAAAAAGTGCGCATAATTTAGTGTCTGTGATTAAAAAATGTGCGTCTTGTTTGTGAAAATAGAATTTGGTCTCGCCGCGAAACGAAATGCCGATTGCACGGTTTTTCAATTTTCTTGTCGAAAACATTTACAAGAACAATTTTGGGCATAATCGTGAAGAACTGGTCGCTTCGAATGACGATTTCGTCTTGATTGGTTTGCGTGAGAAAAAAAAATTGCATGAGAGAATATTAATGAAAGAATATAAAAATATAGGCAATTATAGAATATGCCATTGGCATTCATTGAGGAATTTGAGCAGTTTCAGAAATCTGCGAAACTGAGACATTAGAGTTCACACAATTGTTCATTATTTTTGTAGGAATTAAAAAAATGCATTTGGGTTATCATCAAAACCCCGCCCTTTTATGACTCAAAGTAGACCAAAAAGGCTAAATGCTCAATTTTTGAGCCCGAATGTTTTATTTTGAAACATTTACCAAACAAAATTGAGCTGTCATGTAATTATATATTTAGTCGAGGATTAGAGGACCATGGTATTTCGAGAATGACGCGAGATAAAGGAAATTGTGTGCTAGATTTTTGAACCACAACCCGAAGACCAAATGATTGCGCAAAACAATAAAATGATTTCAGCTGGATAACGTGTGAACCAATTTAGGCAGAGCAGGTGGAATTTTGAGATTGGATTGCCGTTAATAATACAGCTTGTAGAAAGGAATGAATCAAATCGCATCTGCGGACATCTTTCCAGTCTCGCTCATTCAAACATTAAAAAGTTGTTCGCATTAAAACAAACAGAAATCGTTGAATTTGCTCAAATCCAATTCGGAAGTTGTTTCACTAATAATTCTTATTAGTTCCAAACGTCAAGAGCGACGTGCGCGAGGATTTCTGACCTGCTCTCCTTATACGGATTAAAAGTGCCAACAGCAAACAATGGATGGCTCGTTTTTGCGTCATTCTTACTCATCGCAAGGAAAACCTCATTTTGTGAGCTTTAATTAAAGTGCAATTAGAGAAGAAGCTTCCTCGTTATGAATGGTGCTAATACGTATCGGATAAGGGGCTTAGCGATGCGCCTTTAAAATGACCCATTGAATTCGCTTGAAAACATGCGCTTTCAAATTTAGGTTATAGCTTGAATTGTGCATTTTCAATAGAAAAATATGCTCTTTGGCTATTAATTTCAGATAAACAACAATCGAATAAAAAATCACATTAAAAGGAATGGCAAAAAATAGAAATTATTGGAAGAAGCTCATTCAATTATTCAGCGGATTAACAAAATTCCGGTTTTGTGATAGCTCGGCCAGCGAATGGCTCATCTAATTGTATGCGAAGCGAGAAGAATCTACAATTTAAATCCAGATTGAAAACGAATTGGCGAAAACAATAATTTTTCTCATCTGCGGACAATTTTTGCTTATTTCCCAACACCACATAACAAATAAGGAAGTAAACCATTCGGATGGATTTTTCATTAAACAAGAATATTTATTTTTCATTCTATTTTTGATATATATGAGGCGTGCGTGTTCGGAAGCCCCCAAATGGGCCCAATTTGGTATTCTGGGGCGAGACGAATACTAATTGATTCGATTTTCAAGGTGTCCCAACCTTAACCTTTTCCTTAATTATGTGACCCCATATAGTTAGCGTGACGTTTGCTTTTTTCAATTTCGTGGCGAGACCAAACATCTAGGAGGTACGGTAGGACACAATTTTTCTGAGCCGCGAAGCCATAAAAAAAAATAAATCGCCGGCTTCATTAAGAGATGAAAATGCGGGCGGTACGTGGGTTGAAAAAGCTCTGTTTACATGCATATCTGATACTCAATTATAAAATGCTGCAAATTTCATTGGAAACTTTTTGCTTTTCAAAAGGATTTAAAATTAGATCAATCCGACCAAACTACATAGATTATTTCAGAACAAAGAAAAAAATGAAGACGAAGAAAGAGTGGAAAAAAAGTGAATAATTGGGATGAAACAATTAGGAACACATCGTCGCCTGAATTGTCGAGATTTGCGTGACTTTCAACTGCTCAAACACGAAAAAAAGAGCATTTCTAAATTAGGTTTTCGGGTATTCTTTTTCGCGAGAAGACAAGGCTCTTATGAACATTTGAAAATGACCGTAATTGCGGACTTTACATTTCATTTGACGACGATACTGTTGTGGTGCGATTCGCATCGAGACCCATCGCTTAAATAAACGGCGTGCGTCTTAAAAGAAAAAAAATTTCATCAGAAAATAGGTAAAATTCCTAAAAATGAAAAAAAACGAATCATGCAGAGGTACGGTAGTTTAAGACGCATGCTGTTTATTTGTACGATGGGTCTCGATGCGAATTCAACGTATCTTCGATCTTTTTTTTTAATTTTTTCCTGCATCGCAATATCCTTTTTTTATTATTATTTTTTTTATGTCTCTACGTTGGCCCCGCGCCAGAGTTGGGTCTCGCAACATGAGTGTCGATTTACGCGCTAGAATATTTCTATGATAGTTTTTCTTTTGAGATTAAGGTATCAATAAAAATCTAAACTATTTTTCAGTACTCAAATTTCCCAAAATGAGACCAATGGATACTCTATAGCGAGTACTGTAAGAATCTGAAATTTTCAAAAATGAATTGTTCAATGGGCAAAATTGGGCCGAATTCTTATATGAATCATGGCAAATCTCATCAAGAAAAATAATTGTTGGCCATGTTGAAACTCGTCACCCGTAAATCTACCAATCGGGCGCACCCCACCCAAACGGTTCTCGACAGAACGTCGGGATCTGTTCGGGGCTCTACTAGAGCCCCGAACCGCTCTAGCAATCGAGTCTGAATGAAAAAATAAATAAAAGCTCAAAGGTATTGGACATCGATTGGAAGCTGCGTGATGTCTGAGTGGTCACTGATTCTTGTCTGCTCGGCTACCGATCGGTTTTACAGAGGTCGGCGTACAAAAAAAACACAATTGGCTAGATGCCAAGACATCGAAAAATACGCTAGATTGCGTACATTGCATTATAACGTACGCGCATTTAATTTTCAGTCAACGATAAATTTAAATCGACACTGATTTCGCAAATCTAAAGCCGGTGCAGATGGAACTCATGCAAGACGTATGATGAGACACCCAGGCGACATTTACCGAGACAGCCGGACGTAGTCGAGAAGTCATACACGCGCACGCAAAAATGCACACAATTGACTTTTGTTTTAAATTAATTCACTTATAAAACCAATTTGCTCAATTTTTTCACGAAGTAAAATATCAAATTTAGAAGTGGATGACGTAAGTTTTTATTTGAAATTCGATCATTTGTGAAAAATTTGAAAATTGGCGCGCAATTCGAAACAATTTCACGCCTAAACGCCGATTGACCAAACTTTTCATTTGGTTCGAATGTCTTAAAAGAAATCTTCATAAATCTCGAAGATTAATTTTAAATTTCAAGAATTCTTCAAATATTTATCGAATTGTCTTATATTTCGATTTCGTTTTTTGGTTTCTCGTTGGCATCGTTCAAAATTCGTCGAGACCATTCCGAGAAAATGTTTGGTGAATTTCTTTAGGATATTTCAACGAATTCATTCACTGGCTGAAATTCGAGCTCTCAAAATTGTCTGGCGATTCAGCACCAACGAATTCATTATGTGGTTTTTTTACGAATATGTATTGTGAAATCAGCCCGTGTGAGAATGCAATGTATTCGATGGAAAAAAGCGGAATATAAAAATTTGGTGCTGCGGACAATTTCGAGGAAGTTCGCTACCGAAATTGAATGATGAGGAAGTATTGCTCGGACTAATTTTTTGCAATTCAAAGAGAAAAGATCAAATCGTGTTGAATATGAATTAGAAAAAGCTCGAGTTTCTCTGTGAGAGTCGAGCTTGGGGAAACGAGTTAACGACCCGTCTGAAAAAAAAAATGAAAGTGTTGGATGCGAGAGGCGACATAAATTCGATTCCACTTCTTTTTTAGGATCCTTCTCACTTTTTCGTTTATCAAAAAAAATGAGCAAAAAATGAGAAAGTTCACATTTTTTTTGTAGAAGAAATCTTGGTTCAACTTTTTGAACAATGGAAGGAGAGAATTAAAAATTTATGGGTGCAGGATTCTTAGTTCCTAGGCGGAGAAGCGGATGGCAGAAATCGATTCAGTAAAAAAAAGAGGAAAAAGTGCAAAAATTGGTATTTGATATTGTCGGAGTTGAGCTCCGACCGTCAGATTTCGATGAAAATGATTTGAGCTCTGAAAATGTATTTGTGAATTGGCTCTCGAGGTTTCCCTCAATTGAATCCACTCAATTCAATTTTTGTATTTTTAACTATATTAATATAATTTATTGAAGGCTAATATGTATATTATTCAAAAAAAAAGAATATTTATATTTGTAGTATTAGTCATAAAAGTATTATTTTTAATCATAGGATCTAACTTGAATTTTTTTTTCGCGTGAGAAAATTATTTATGGAAACAAGTGGAGAAAAACTATGTGGGTGGCGTATCATTAAAAAGCGCTTGAAAATCCACCTTTTTTTGGGGACCCTCATTTATATGTATGTATAGGTTATTAATGGTCCCTCCTGAATTGGAAAATAAATATTCCTTGTTATCAATTCTTTTAATTTTCGCAAAACTGCGAAAATTTGAGCATTTTATTATTGATTTTCGTTAGATGTGAAAAATTGGAAAAATGCCAAAAAATATTTCGGAATAGGCCTTGTGCACCAATTGCACCAATCCCATCTTTTCGCCAACCGAGTTGGTCAGAGTTTAATCCGGAAGAGCTCGTCAAACACTCAAATTGTGAGAAATTTCGAGTCGTTTTGTCTTTCACACTTATTCTCAACTCGTTACACCGGTGGATTCAATTCTTTTCGGAGTTTCCTGGAGCTAATATTCCCCAACACAGCGGATTCTTCTTTTTTTCAGAAATTTCAGCCAACGATTACGGTAGATGTCTAAAAAAAAACTTATAGAAAAACAAATTTCAGTGAACATTTTCTATCATCAGCATAATAAAAACATCAAACAAAAACATATTTCAAAAAAAAATGTTCCGGATCTAATATATACAATTAAATAGCTGCATACCGTATCAGAAGGTACTGTATTCCCTTACAATTCAAAAAAATGGCGTCTGGGGAGAAAGGAAATTATTAAAGAATAAAGGGGAAATTGTTGAGGGAAATGAAGAAGGGAGGGGGCGGAGCCATGGGAACATAATAAGCTTGAGTTGGGTTCTCTGATATAGTCGTTTTACACCCAGTCTCGCTACAAGTGGATGTCAACTATGAAGGACAAAAAGGAATTTGACCCCAAAGGGTAGTCCACCTACTAGATTCATGGATATGAAAAGAAAAATGAGAATGACATTATGCTGAGTTTAATTGTATTAACATACCGTCGTTTTAGGCGTATCTTCTGAATTTGTAAATCGAATAGCGAAATTGAATCCGTTGAGGAATCGGAGATTTTAAAACCACAAAAAAATAAATTGTACGCTATTTCGATTTTTCTTTTGATTATTTTTCGCTGCTAAAAATGTTTCACATCCGCAGAACGACCAGATTGGAGTTCGCCCCACCCATTTTACTCGTGACTATAGGGCTTCCATTTAAGCGGCAAAGAAATGCTTGAATTGCCACCTTGAGTCTCGTACGGAAAAGTCTCAAAATTGGTTTTTGCAATTTCTCGAAGCCATAGCATGAAAAAGCATAATGTTATAGCGAGTTTGAAGAGCTTTGGTCATTAGCAAAAGTTCAAAATGATGGAGTAGGAGCGTATTGATTAAATTGCAGCCCGTGCATTTAAAATCTTCAAATAGCAACAATATTCTTCGCATTTTATAAAACTTCATCTAAAATTTTAATTAGTTAAAAAAACGGAGAAACTTTCTAAAATTCTCATAAAAATTCACATAATAAAAAAATTTTTCGAAGAAATGACGGACGTGAAATGTGACATGGCCGATTAATTCGCGGTCGCGGACGGAAGAAATATTGGCATAAACATATCATATTTTTGGTATTAGAACGTGTGTGCCAAATTGTTAAAAAAATCGCAGACCGTAAAAACGCTTTCATTGTAAGGACACATTTCGCCGGAATTTGTGCGTTCTTCTTTTCACCAAATTAAATTTATCCTCAAAGGGATCAATTATAACAAGTTATAACAACGATTTTGGGAGTTTAATGTGCTTCTATGTAGTTGTATTTGCCGCAAACAGCGAACAGAAATTATTCAAACTGTTAAAAATCGAATAATGAATGGCTTTATCTCTGTATAACTCGGCCCAGGCGAACAAATTATATATCCGAAAAAAATTCGCGTCTGGGCGATTCCGGAGATGACTTTCGACGAATCCGATTGCCGCTTGATCGAGTACGACCGAATTATTCTTAAAATGAAATATTCAACGTTTTAAAAATTGATGCGTCTATCGTTTTCTAAAATTTCAGACCATTTGAATCATGATTCTAACAGATTTTCAATTTTTAAACAAATTCGAATATTTTTCAAACAATTGAAAGAAGAGGTCAATTATCCTTATGAATATGCCCGAAAATCTACATTTAGTTTTGCGCAAAGGCCACTAATTAAAAAATTGGAGAATTTTGGATATTAAAAAAATTTTCCTTGACCATTGATCCCAGGTTCGGTAAATTTTCTCTCGAAATTCAATACCAAACGGATCCGTCAAAATTCGGAAACGAAATCAACTCGATCCGATTGGAAAATTGTCTGATTCTATCGTTTTCGGGCATCTTAAATCCGATTCGTTTTGATTTTTTATTTTCAATTGGATCGGCTTGAATTGTCGGATCCGAATGGTTTCGAGTTGCCATGGCTTAAAATTTCGAGCGAGATCGATTTTTTGCTGGGCGCTGACCGATTGTAAGTGCGGCGTGTTTTCAGCGGTGTAACCAATTTTAGAATCCAAAGGCCAATCAATTGTTTGCTCAGCTACGCGGAGCCATCGTCGAGCACAAACCCGATCGCATTCGATTGCGATTTCCGCGATTATGATGGCGTTCAATTCGAAATTGTTGATTCTCGCCAGTTTCGTGGCGATGACAGCGTCGCAAAATTCGACGAGACCGCCGAGAACGTGCCGAACCGAATCGAGAAGTGGTAACAAGAATCGATTTGTTTCTTATTTTTCTGGATAACTTGAAATTGCAGCATGCTTTCTTGGAAAATGTCCAGCGGGCTTCGAGTGTGTCGCAGATCGTTGTTGCAACGAAAGAGACGTTGTGCAGCCAGGTGAAACGAATTCAGAAAAGAAAATCTGAAAATTAGCTCTAATTAAAGATCATTTTAGGCGGCGATTGCAAAGATTTCGTCGACAATTGCGAAACAATTGATTGCCATAGCATTTCCTTGCAGGTAGTTTTTTTTTTGAATTGTTGAAATTGATTCCAAATCGTTTCAGGAGTTCGCTAGAGCCAATTGCGCGCGAACCTGCAACATGTGCTACGCCACAGGACCTGTGAGCCCCAGTAATATCATTCCAGAATGTTCGCTTCTCTGAAAATTGCTACTTCTAGAATATGCTTGCACTGATCTTCTTCCCGACTGCCAGAATCGGACCAAACTGTGTCAGGACATTGATTTTGTCGACATGATGGCGCTGTTCTGCCCAAGGACTTGCACATTGTGCCTCGCGAGTCCGCCAACAAAGCTGCCGACATGTAGCGATTTGCTCACCGAGTGAGTCATTACATTCTAAATTGAGCAAACCCCCGATTTGTTCAGCTGCGCGAATCGCGGGGACTACTGTACGTCGAACGGTGTATCCGACTACCAGAAGCGCGTGGGATGCGGAAATTATTGCGGATTGTGCGGCGCGAAGGCAACCGCCGCCGTCGCGCCGATTTATCGTTTCGGAAAATGAATTGTGAATAAAGATATTTGCAAATTTGTGCTTCATACGGCATCAAAAATTAAGCTAATTCGTTTGAGAAAGGGTCAAATTCGATGGTTTCAATGCAAAATTATTCGAAATTGATTAAAATTCTCATGTGCTACGAAACGGATTCATTTATATTCAATTACGAGTAAAAAATAAATTGGTTTCGAATTCGATCATTTTTAGATTTCGACTTGCGCGCAAAAATTCAAAATTTTCACAATTAAACTATAAGCTAATTGAATTTAAAATTAAAAGTAATTTTTCGAGGAAAAATGGAGAAAATTCATTTTAAAACGAGTATCCGTTGACAATGATCAATTGTGTGCAATTTTGCGTGCGCGTGTGCGCACACCTTAACCAACAGCCGCGCTTTTTTTTAAAATTTTTTTGGTAAATAATCGTTGATTTAATGCCATCAATCGCAGCTCAATCTTTCTCCCAAATAATGCAATTTGATAGTTGCCAAATTGCAAGTTTCATTGCTTCCATAAAACTTCAAAGTCCGATAATTCTCTTATCAAAAAAGAAAAATTGTGATAAAAAAAAACGATAATTATCAATGAGATCAATTTAACCCGTTCGTCCGCAATTATTCCATAAATAAATTCCTAAACGATTTGGATGAGCTCCTTATCGACGAGCGGCGTTTGCTCAGCTTTCAATGGATGCGGAAGCCCATTATCGCTGAGTGTTTTTCGAACAGAGCACTAAAAATTGATACATTCAATATATCTAAAATTTTCAAAAAGAGCTACCGATCGAGTTGAAGCTGTTGTTGAAGCTGCCTTCGCCGTGCGCTTCTCCTCCTTCTTCAACAATCTCAATCTCAATCGCTTCTCGATCCATCTAAACTCAAATTCCGAATTTCGGCCGCCGTCATTGACCAACCTCTTTTTCCCGAAATAGGCCAAACAATTGGTGGCGGTGTTCAAGACAATTCCAAAGTCCGACACGCGCACCATCACCGACATCGTCACCGACCAATTCTCAATTCCATAGATGCTCTCATAAACGTCGAAGAAGATTGGTCCGGTTCTGGAAATGTCAAATTTTCGACAATCTCGCGCATTATTAATTATTTCTATTTGAGCACCTGAATATCAAAAATTTGATGGCAATGAAAATCGCAAGCGTTCTCGAGACGCGCTCTTTGATCTCCTCGCTCATCACAACTTCCCGACTTCGTTGTTGGCTCTCAAATAGTCTTAAACACGCCAATTTTTGGAATCGACTTCATCGAAAATGATGCGCTCACTTTCTTCTTGCCTTCAAACTCATATGAACACGATATTCGGTGAGAAGCGACAAGATCAATATAATCGAGACGGGTCCTATCGTCTGCGTCAACGTCATTTGAATCGCCTTGATCGTTTTATACTGAAAAAAAAAACGAATGATTCGAAAAAACGGAATTCGAAAATACCGTGGTATTTTCACGAAAAGCCGTCGAGATGATATATTTCGAGTTTCCACTTGATTCGAAATTCATGCATTCGGCTAACACGAATTCAAAATAGGTCGGAATGTGAATCGCAAAGCTGATGGCAATTAAAAGGACTGAAACAACACAATTTTTTTCGTTTCTATTGAAAAATTCGCCGCCCCAACATGGTATATAAAATGGACGAATGAATTCTTTGGTGTTGAAGTTGCGTTTAAGCGATGATTTATTGAAAACGCCACGTGGCAATGGCTCATCGATCGCCGAATTGATCGACTTCCGCTTCCGGTTGCCGCTTTCCTGAATCGCGTATAGGCTCAATTAAATAATAATGCGGAAGCTTACGGCTCTCTTATGATGCTGATTCATTCCATTGGCGTATCTCAGCGGCCTCATCACCACCATGAATCGGAGGAACGTGATATAGACGACGAGGATTGTCGACGATGTTGTCAGCGAGCTCGCGACCCCATGAAGATTGTAGGTGAACGTTTGAAAGTCCTGCATGATATTCTTGTCGAGAATCAGAATTGAGCTGGCTTCGATTCCATAGAACAGAAACACGCATATCATTAGCAATGAGTCGATGGCGCAGAGCGAGAAAAGCGCTGAAAAATTTCAAGTTTTCTGATCTACCCCTGATATGATCTATCAACGCCTGCCTACCTGCAGTGAGCTCTTTGTTGAGGCCGGCTCGACACAAAAATTTGATTGCGTAGCGTGCGCCGACGAGCGAAAGAAGTGCGGCAACACACGTGCATGGTCCCTAGAAATTCGAAATGATCAACGGAACCAAATTGCCAGTTTCTTTTTTTTCTTCTCGCGCAAACTATCAATTAGCGCCAACGCGTGATTAAGCGACACCACGCGCCTACAGTAGGCCGAGTTCGAAAAGCTCAAACATTTTTTTTGTTGGGAAACCTCGTCATGCTACTCACATCGATCCATAAGGCGTACGGGGTGACCGGATCGGTTTCCGGATAGCGATAAGAGCAATTATCGAGATTCTCCATGGTGTCGGTCTGCATAATTGCCCTGAAACGAGAATGATGATCAATGAATCACGGAAGGACGGATTTTTGAAAAAATAAATGAATAAATGATTGAGGGACGAGAAGTGAGGGCAAAATGCGCTTGGCGATAACTAGAATATTCAATTTCGTGATAAGACCCGACCGCTGGGCGGGTCTTCGCGGAATTTTTGAGTCGCGCTTGAATTATTCAAAATTAAAATGAATGTGTCGAGATTGCGCGATGTTATTTTTTTCGCACCGAAAATGATCTGACCGACATGTTTCGCTTAACTATGCAATTTATTTTTCGGCTATGCATGCCTGCACATGCATATGAGAATAAATGAAAGAAGGGAAAATGAAAAAGAAAACATTAGGGTGATGATGTTTGAGTAATTCGATATTATAATTCTCAAATTCGGTTTACTTCCGGACGCAATTTTTTTTTCAAATTTTTTTTGGCCCGGTTCAAAACTGACGTATTTTTTATTCGGCGTGTTTCATTTTTGCTTTTAAACCGGAACAATTGAAATTTGAGAATATTTCGGGGGGGGGGGGGCCAGGGAAATGTCAGCAGCTTGAGCTCATGCAAACTTTTTCACCTGTTCATAATACTACAACGAAAAAGTATTTTTGAGAGAATGGGTCTCAAGGCGAAACAGAGTGCACCTGCGCGAGAATTTTTCATTAAAACATGCATTTCATATTCAGCTTTTCGTAAATCTACACCGATTTCTTGAGATGGAAAGCCCCGCCCCTTTTTTTGAGTTTATTTGACGCCTACGATATTATAGAATTATAGAGGGTCAAAAAAAATGAAATGCGCCTTTAATTACTGTGTTTTCACAAAATAGTAAAATTGCAAAAAAATTGAACGCTGAACCATTCTTTGGACCACCCGGAAGTTTGAAGGAATTTTATCTAGCATTGAATTGTTCGTGTGGAGTACACACACACACAGATGTTACTTTTCGTCTGGAGACCAAAACGGAAAAAAATTGTCGTATCATTTTTCTTCCAGAAATGTGCAATTTGCTGAAAGCCGACCAGATCGGCTTGTCGAAATCACTTGATCTACCCACCGTATGCTTTTCGAAAATGTCGCTTTCTCTGCTGCTAGTCAGCCATCAATTATTTATAGGCGAAAATTTTTGGTACAAATTTTGCGCTCCCCAAAAAAAGAGATGCAAAATGGAATGATTCGAAATTGAACGAGTTGTTTTCTGCTAGACTAGACGTAGTTTGGTCATTTCCGGCCCGCCGGGCGGAACATTTCGAATTTGGAAATGGCCTGGGCACAACTTGCATCTTTCGCGAATCGAACAATCGGATTATCAATTAAAGGTCATATTTGGGCGCAGCCAAAAAAAAAAGAAGTTCGGGTCCCGTCTGGAATTTTCTTCAAAAAAAAAAAAGGTAGACGTAGTAAATTCTAGAAATGGCCGACGGAAATTTGATCATGAATATTTGAAGCTTGAACTCTAATCTCATTTCCGACGCGATCTTTTTCTTAGGAACCATTAGGCATTTCTAATTTTCAGAGATGCTTCTTCGCCATCACATGTCCCTTTAATTGGGTTACTGTAATGAAATTGATTTGGTGTGGCTTTTTTTGGTAAATTGAAAAGTGCAGTATTTCGAGACCCGCATAATCGGTAAATGAGTCTCGAAGCGAATTCCTTTCGGGTTTTCGAACTTCGTTTTTTTGTGCAGAAATGATGTCATTTCACTGCGAGCCCAAAAAAATTGGAGCATTTTCAACTAAAGACTAGAGATTTGGAATTCATGAGACATCACGGCATTCAGTTTGAATATTTTAAAACCTCAAATTCGTACCTGCGCGAATCAGAGGTCGAGTTTGGCTCGGCTTCTTCAAAAGCTTAAGACTATAATAATAGAGGTGTGTCTCGTGCTCGAAATCACTGGTCTCGAAGCGATTCTTTGGCGATTAGGTCGAATAATTATAGACAACGAAATCGTATTTCGAGCAATGCGCATTTCGAGCAAATATTTATATATTTATAGATATGGGATTTGGCTGAAAATGCGATTTTCAGGCAGAACAAAAAAAAAACGGCGAATGTCGGTAAAACAAGAAAAGTTTGTTAGGAGAGCCGAAACGAATGAGAAAATGGCGAACGAGACAACAACATCGAAAAAAAAAATACGAAACGGCAATTTATTATCGCAATTGAAATTGAATTCGAGAATCAGAACAGGTGGCTCGGCGACAGATTTTGCTAGTAGATAGCAATGAGTCGCGCCGCTCAAATTGGCATTATCAACATCGTCTTATGAGTATTTTTATTATCGAAAATTGCCCATTTTATTTTTGGGAATATTTCGGGCAAAAGAGAGAGAAAGAAAAAACAAATTATCAAACTTCCGGGTATTAAAATGATGGATTGGCGCGAAAATTTCGAATTTTTGAGGATGTTGGACGAAATACGGTAGATTTTGGCGCGAAATTCAAATATTTCAATTTTCATTATTTGAAATTTAAGGCATGATTTTGCTTTATTAGGCTATGCGCCTTTAAACCCCCTCAATGAGCCACAATTTATCTAAAATTTAAAAAATTAAAGATTTGGATTTTATTGACGATGCCAAAAAAATCGAAAAGCTTCAACAATGCCTTGGTTTATTTTTTTTTTGAGGAAACATAAGATTATAATATATTGAAAGGAAAAGCTTATGACAAGCATCGAGTAAAGTATATATATATTATAATAGGTCGACAACATACATAAATATCATAATTCACGTGCCACGAGCCACATGGGTCTTACGTGGAATTGAATCCAAAAATTAGCGACGAAGGAATGGACGAAATTCGATTCGACAATGTAGTTTGTTTTCCTCGCCAACGGGACCATGAAACCCCGCCCACTAGTTAAAGAGGAGCTCATTAATAGGGGGTGGATGAATTTTAGAGATTTGTCAGAAATATCTTTTGAATTTCGCGGGAAATCGACAGCACTTGGCGCGAATTTCAATATTCAATTAATTCAACAAAAAAAACATTATTTGAAGTGCGAATATTCCGCCATTTTAAATTTAGAAAAAAAGGAAATTAGAAGAAAATTGTTATAGATTAGAAGGAATGAAAAATGATACGCGGTGATTTTATGAATTAGCGGCGTCTCAAATATCAAAAATCTATTTTAACAACTGTTCAGAGCACTTTTTTTTTTGAAAAAGACAGCAAAAACAAAAAATTTCTCAATTAGTAGAATTTTCCCGTAAATCGACAACGCCGATTTAAAGGCGCATTCGCATTTTATTGTTAAGAAGACTCGTTTTACATCAGTGATAAAAAAATGTGCGGAATTTTTTTTTTTGCAAAAGAATATTTCTTTCGCACTTTTTTTTCTCGTCAACTTGGAAAAAGATCCGACGGGCGAAATCGAATTATGGTCCATATGTTTTTCATCGCCGAAAAAACATTCGGGCTTACTTGTGTCGATTTACGAGCGCGGTGAATTGGGTCTCATGGGGAAATGTGGAGTTGAGAGAGCAACAAATATTGTTTTGAGAAAATTGGGTGATCGGAAGGAAGAAAAAAAAGCAAAGTTTAGGAGAACAAAACAAATATTTGAGAAATACAGTAGAATCAAAATTCAACTCGAAAATATATTCAAAGTGGGGCATGCGCCTTTAAATCGCGTTACTGTAGCGAAATATTTTATTTTCACGTTTTTTATGGATTTTTCTTAATTTTCAGTCAAAAAAAGAATTAAAATATCAAAATGACCTGAAATGCAATAAAATTAAGCAAATTAGGAGTTCTGAAATCTTAAACATGCGATTTTTAATTTTTTTTTTCGGAAAAATAAAAATAATGATTTCCACCCATTGAAAATTTTTTTGCAGATATTCGAGGAAGAAAGTACAAAGAATACCAATCAACTACTACAACAGACTGCAAAATTTGCGTCAAATTCGGTTTTGAAGCGGATCGAATTAGCCCAATCGGCGACAACAGAGCAGAATTGTCCGGAGCTTGGTCGGAGCCACAACAATAGAGAGGTCCGACACGATAATAGGGTTCAATATGTTTTTCATCAATCGGCTCCAAAATAAAAAAATTCAGACGAAAATTGAAGATGTTCTTTTTTACTATGACACACAAAAATTGAAAAGAGCACACGGATTTGCACTAACAAAAAAATTGTTCGGTTTTTAATCATTCGTTTTTTTTTTCGAAGGCTCAATACGCCTATTTAACCTATTGTTAGAAGGATGTTTCACGATTTAGAAAGGAGTTTCTGAGCCGACATGACGTTTTGATTTGAGCCCCAAAAGAGAACAAACAAACCATAAATGGAAAGGATTTTTCGGAATATTGGAGTCTGAATGAATTTGTGTACAAACGTTTATTGAAAAAAAAAATGGTCTTTCATCAAATTTTTTTATTTGGTAATGTTTGAAAATTTGACTTTTCATAATTTTTTTTTTCAAAAAAAAATCTGCCGCTGTAAGACCCGATAATTTTTTTCAAAACATATTTTTCCAATCAATTCCCATTGTTTCTGAGAAACATAATGGTCCGAAATCAATTTCCGCAAATTGGTGAAAATTTTTTAATGCACGTGGCCGCACGCGAGCCGCAACGCGTGGTTCCAGTAACCTACTATAAATGTTCAATGGAATGTGTGCAAAATCGCGTCGGTGTGTAAACAGACAAAAATTAATACAGCATATTTGAAGGGACTAGTTTTTTAAAGGCACATGCCTATTATATTTATTTTTTCTACTATCATAACAGCAAGAAAAAATGAAAAATTTGCATTCAAGTTCAAATTTTGACAAATGAGAGTCTAGTCCAAAGTCCAAAATCTTCAATTGAACTAATTTTGGGAAAATTCAAACTACAAAGAATCGGGTGTAGGTCTTCAATTATTTGGGATTCAATTTTGGATTTGGCGGGAAATTCAAATCTCGCCAAATCAACGCAGATCGACGAATTTTGTAAATCTAGGCTAAATATCAAATGCGCTTACACTAAAATTCTGAGATATTTTGAAATCGACAATAATTTTGTGAAACAAAAAAAAGCCGATGTTCAATTTTGGATTTGAACAGTGAGAATTAGTATTTAAAAAAAAAAGCTCACTGCACGTTGAAAAAAATTGGATGAAAAGGGGATTGACGAAATTGTTCAAATTTGGGCGAAAAAAAAATGAATCAAAAGTGGATTTTTAAAATTTGATCCGCGGATTTTTCCCGTTTTCCAAATTTCTGGCGATATATTTTTTTTGAATTTCGATCAATTTTGAAATCGGCTGTAATCTACATAGTATAACACAAAAAAGAATATGCTTAAAATTAATTTTCAAAAAATTTTTCTTCATTAGATTCTCCAAAAAAAAAAACGAGCACTCTGAGCCGATTTACGGTGAGTTTGATTCGCAGGTTAGCCAGACTACGGTAGCCGAATTCCCACCGCTTAATTTCGATTTTGAATTACCGCCTTGAAAATTGCGATGGTCCACAATTACCCAGGATGATCGTTTTTTTTTTGAGATGACAATGGTTTTTTTAGTTTTAAAAAATTTTATAACCTTGAAAATAACATTCTAAACTATTAAAAATGATATGTACCTTTAAGTTTAAAGGAGCACAAACAGAAATAATTGGCGGGCGAAAATTTTCCCAATTTTTGTTTATTTTATACGAGAATTTGTTTAAAAATTGATTAAATTGGGGGGAAATGCCCAAAAATAGAACGCACTTTTTTGCGTTTAGAATGACAAAACGAAACTCATTGAATTTGAATAGAACGAAATGAAACGGCAAAAAAGAAACGAAAGTGTTCGCGTCGGGACCCCAGTGTTGAAAGTACACTGGTCCTAATCCTCTCATATTGCTTTTTGTGGCAAATAAGAATATTGAGGAGACATCGTCGTCGTCGTCGTCGGTGGTCCCTCATTGGACCCCAATTTTAATCCGCATAATGTGCGCCGGTTTTTCTAGTCGACCGATGATGAACCCCACAGAATGAGTGACAACATGGTTGGCTAATGAAGCACAAGCGTGTGCCATATTTGGAATTGGAAATTCGAAGCCGACTCACCTCAGAACGCACTCGAGACTTTTGCATTTTCGAGCGATTGCGTCTAGCTGAAAATCGAGAAATGATTGAACGAATCGGAGCGCAATGAAGGGGGGGGGGACCCATTCATTTTTCAGTGGTCCCTTGATCGGTTTTATTGTTGAAAGGGACCACTTTATTTCTTGAAATCGAAAATTTTTGAATTTTGTTTCAGAAGGCGCCAGGCGCCTTTATATGGTAATTTTGGGCAATTTTGAAAATTCCAAAAAAAATGATGGCTCATGTGGGTCTTTGGAAGATCGATGGTCCGTTCTTTGAAAAAATATAAAGACGACGACCTCGTCGGACAATTTTTCGATTTCCCGCTGGGAGTTTGGCGACAAAAAAAATGAATGATAGGACTTTTTAAATGACCGCATTTCTGCGAAATTCCGGGACCGGAAAATTGTCGGCAGATGAGAATCGCAACGAACCTCGACTCGGGTGATGCCACGCCGATGCACGGCTTCGGCAATTCGCTGACCGAGCAAATTGCCGGCGCGCATTGTATTGCCTGGCTGCCTTGGACCCTGCAAATTGTCGAATGAACAAAAAGAACCAAAAGCTGGAAGTGTTCGACATCGAACGAGGGGTGGGGGGGATCATCCGAATCGAATTATCATGCTTGATCGAACAATCGGAGCAGCGAAGAAAAAAAAAAGACGAGCAAACGGGAGGAGAAAGTAGCAACAATTGTCGAATGCAAATTTGATGTTCTCACGGTCAAAAAAAAAAAAAAGAAAGAGAGAGAGACAATAAACCACGGCATATGAGAAAGGATGGGCCAAATCTCGACCAATTTACGTGGGTGTTTCGAATCGAAATAATTTAATTATCTTTTCTTTTTTTTCTCGCCGTTCCACTATTTTGACCGAGAAATGGTATTTTTTCTGAGCTTTATGACGTCGTATGGTTCAATTAAGCTCAGAAGAAGTCAAGTCGAAAATCTTTTTTTTTTGCTGTTTTAATTCGGTGCAAAATGTCCGCAGCACGAAATTCACAAAATTCGGTTTTCACTTTCTCACTTTAATTTGAAATTGCCTGACCGCAGACCTGATACATATGAAAAATAAAAAATGGAGAATTTTGAACGAATTGGAAAATTATCGGAAAAAAAAATAGTAGGAAAATCGATTTCCTCAATTTCGACAGTTTGAATGAGAATCCAAAATTTCGAATTCGAAAATTTTTGAATTCCCGCCTTTGGTGCACAATTGGCGCGAAGCTGAATATACTTAAAATGAAGTTTCAAAAAAAAATCTCCGTATTACATTCTCAAAAAAGCGAGCACCCTGTGGAGATTTACGGTGAGTTTGATTCGCAGGTTATCAGTAGTACGGTACCCACAATAAAAATTTCAAATTTGAATTACCGCCTCGAGAATGTCCATTTCGCTTTTCGGTTTCTTCGAATTTCGATCACATTTGGACTATGCAACAAAAAAATTAAAAGATCCATGCGATCATTTTTTTGATAATTCTGCTAAATTCGAAACGTAAATATTCGAAATGTTGAGATTTTTGAGGAATAAGAGACTAGTAAAATTAAAATACGACTTAATAAAAAATATTAAACAAATTATAAATGAAATGGAGCGTGAAAATTGGAATCAATCAAATGAAAATTTGAAGAAATAAAAGACGCACGGGCAACAAATTGTCTCATGGGTCTCGCCGCTTTTTTCATCATTCAATTACAGTACCTATTGCATTTTTTTGCATTTTTTTTATTGCATGGATAGGTCCATAAATATTTTTCCAATCGAGACCCAAGGCGGCAATTCGAATGACACATTTCGTCCATCAATAATTATAATAGATTTCTGCTGATTTATTCAGTCTATGGGGTTCGTTATCCAAAGGATATTGGATTTTCAGACTGAATTAAGCTATGGTTTGAATAATAGTGGATATGAAGCATTTGTTTTACCCAAAAAAAGGTATGTTGAGGTGAAAATCAATATTAGAAAAGAAAGCTGAAATCGAAATATTGAAAGCCGAAGTTAAAAAAAATTGGTCTCGCAACATTATATATTTATTATTTATACAGTATGCGTTAAAGGCGCATTCAAAAAGCGAATTTAAACTAAATTAGTTTTTTTTAAGAGCGAAACCTTATTAATGGAATTTATAAAAGTCTGTAAATTTGATTCGCAGGGTTTATCTGTAAATCGATACCCACATAATTCTCAAATCTTGAACTAAAGAGCCAAAAAAATGATTTTGAAGCACACAAGGTATTCGTTCCATATTTAAGAAAAAAAAAAGTTGTGAGCATTTTATTTTGAAATGACGAAATTGAAGAATCGCAAAGCTAAAAATGAAAGAATCAAAGTCAATCAATGAATTTTCATCGATTTTTTTGTTTGCCAATGGATTTGCACGAAATGGTTTGTTTTATACACTCACTATCCAACAACAAAAAACAATTCCAGCCATATTTGGATTGAGGAAAAAAAATGGAGACCCCCTCTCTGAATGAGTTTGTCGAAAACTGAAGATATGGGAAAGCACTTTGGGTGCAAGCTTATGTAATTCAAATATTCGGATACGCATAATGATATTTTAAAAATCGCCACGAAAAAAATATTTCAAACTATATGTATAATAAAATATGCGTATAATGTGTACCAGTTTTCAAACCAAAAAACATGTTTTTCTATTTGTTGAAGAAAAAAAACGATTATTATTTCTAATCTTGATAATCGCAAATTTATTTGTATTCATTAAATTATGCAAATTATTCAAGAGAGGATCACTTCCGTAAAAGGTGCAAAAAGAAGTTGTGGGAAGCGAATAGAAGAAGAAGAAGAAAATAAAACAGATTTCAGTGTTTTCAGGTTTTGAGGAGACCAAAAAAAGCAGCGATAAAAATCAACATACTTCGAATTTCAGACATTTCCTGTTTTGAACACCGAGTTTTTTTTTTCATATCGAAAATCAAGTTTTGCCTCTATTTTGACTAAATTCTGGAAAAATTTGATTTTTCAAAAGTTTTGAATAAAATAATTTCATTTTCTGAAAAATTGAACATTTGAGACTAGCTGGGAATCGATGATAGACAATTCAACGGGATCCAAGGCTATGCGCCTTCAAATTCGAATAGGACCCCCTCTCCAAAAACACACCTTGACAGAATAATCGAAGCAGGCAATTATGAAGAGAAAAAAAAAACTTGAAGAAGCGGCAAACAATTGAGCGATACTCCAACAATCAATTCGCCTATCCGAAAAAAATAAGAGAAGAAAGAAAAAAGCGAAATTGGGCCAAAATAAATGAGGATCAGCGAATGAGGTGCCACGATACATGCACATTTCTAATAAGATCGACCGGATCCCCGCTCATCTAATGGAATATTTTTGGTTGGGTAATGGATTCCTGAATTTCATATGATGACGACAATTGGATTAATTACGAATCAATCGACTATCAGCATATCATTCGACATGTATAATTGCCGTCTACCCCCAATTATGATTAGTTTCGAGTTATTGTAGAACATCTGCAATTTTGAAGCCAATTTTCTAGAAATTTTTTATGATGATTGAATATTCTGAAGCTCATGCTGCAAGTATGAAGTATTGAACTCAACGAATTCCTCTCGTTCATTGAATTTCGAAGAATTGAATTTAAGGAATTTTGGAATTACCAGATTTGTTGAATTGCAGCAATCCAAACCACCCCCCTCACAACCGTTTTTTTCTTTTCATGCGGCAAGTGCGCTCTAGCGTACTACGGCGTCTATCGGGAAAGCGCGTCACCGTCTGCGTTCAGAGAGTGTGCTAACATAAGAGAATCTGCGGACGCTAGACAGTTATTTTCGACAAATGCGCTCTATTGCAAGTTTCGCACCTGGCACTATAAAAGACCGACGGAATGCGGAAGGTGGTCATTCTTGCATGTCCCCGAGTCGCGATCCGATGATTCAAGTCACCATCGACTATTCATCGAGTTCGTCTGATCGAATATGCTCGAGTGTGAGGGATCGTCTCCACCACTACTAGCTAAGGACGATTTTCGAGCCTATAGAGTGGCCGCCACTGGATCCTTGAATGGGCCAGAATGGACCCCAAGAATGAATCATAGTGTCCTACTTACAATGATGACGAAGCCTTCATATCACCAGCAGACCCGGTACTCAGCCAGAATGGTTTCGGCCTGAGGTGAGTCGCCTCTTCTTCAAAGGCCGAGCATTCAATGTGGCGATGGTGATCTACTCACTCGGTCGAATCAGGCTAATCGGTGCACCGTCTCACACAGGTCGGGGGATGTTCTTCCTCAACTAGACAACTTCTTTACGATCTAGCATGTCGCAAGAAGTATTCAGAGAACAACTCAAATGAATTCCAAAGGCTTTCTTAAGGCCATCGGCTAGTCGTGTTGTTCATTCAATAGAGATTCTTTACCTCCAAATATGATTTTAAATAAAATAGCAAATAAGTTAATCTAATATTTAAAAATGTTGCGGATTTTAGAAATTTTTGGAAATCAATGTTTCGAAAACTGCCGTTCATTTTTGCGACGCGGTGTACTACGGACTTTGTTTGTCTACAGTATCGCGCAGAAAAAAATAATTTCGCAAATTTTTAATGAATTTATATTTTCTTTGATGACTTTTCTAAATATGTCAAATTTGTAGAAAAAAATAAAATTCGGTTTGAATTTTGTGGAAGTCAATTGCACTCGTCATTCAATCAAGTGTGTGTCTTTCCATTTTATCGAATTTTAGCCGAAAAAAAAACACATAAAAAGGAAGCAAGAAAAAACTAGCAGGGTGTCAATTCAATAATCGGGCAGCACGTTTTTTTTTCGCAAAATCAATTTCCGATGTTCAGATTCGTGCGAATTTTTCTAGGAAATGAGAATAAATCGTATAAACCTTCTATATATTAGAAAAAAATTCAAAATCCTTAAAAAATGCACATTCGAAATTTCTTTGTCTGTCGGTGAATTCCAAGAAATTGGAACAGTTTTCTAGAAAAATTTTAATATGGCGAAAATCGAAAAATGCCCGAATCGGTTGGCAATTGATAAATTTCAAAGCAACATGATTTTGGTTATAAATTTTCGTCAAGCGGAAATTGGAAAAATTGCGTTATACGTGCATTTTTAATTGGGTCCGTCTCAAAAGACAAGAAAATGAAACAAAAAAAAATGATGCGACATTCTAAATTAGGCGCACTCGCTCAAAAATTTGAAATCGCCGATCAACCGGAATTCTGTTTGTGTCATTCATTTCTGGTGTCGCCTAATTATCTAAATAATGCTTTATGAATCGAATTACTAAATATAAAAACGTTTGGGTGTTTGGTGGCGCCAATTGTGCACCAAAGGCGGCAATTCAAAAATTTTCAAATTCGAAATATTGGATTCGCATTCAAACTGTCGGAATTCCTCAGAAAAGGGCTGCCCTTGACAAGAGGAATCGATTTTCCTTCTATTTTTTTCCGACAATTTTCCAATTCGTTCAAAATTCTTTTTTTTTCTAATATATCAATAATTAAATT